TCAACTGCCACGAAAATAATCCTCGCTAATGTCACAGGTCAGCAGTTTAGTGTGAGGGGTGTGGGGTTTACGTATCGGTACCACAAGCGTACGTCAATGACATAAATGAGTGCACTGACTTATCTAGTGCTATAGAAATTAACTTTGTCAAACAGTGCGCTCAAGGGAGCAAAGGTAGTCATTTTCTTCTTGCATTTATGAATGACCATATTTCGGAACCGCGCAATACTTGACTTTACTGGAAGACTTTGACTTGCACTGATAACAGACAGCAGTGTAACAGACGTACGGGATTCAGAATTAACCTCCGGAAAATTCTGCATAGTGGGACGAATAGCCTTCTAGTAGAGAACGCCATTTGTACTAAAAAGAAGCTTTTTTTTCATTTGTTGCCAAAACATCTCAGATGCCGCCTGCAGTAAATACAGCAGGTGATTTGTTAAATTAAATGCCTTAATTCCGGAGGTACGGAAAAATAACTCCTGTTCACTTTCCGCTAAACAGTCACTGCTAAAATCACAAATTTCATTTTCAATGCTTCTGCATACTGCAGCGAATGCAGCATGGGGAAGTACCTGTTCATCAAAAACAGATTTGTGCAATTTGAAGACGCAGGCACAACTTGAATTTTAGCTCTTCCCAAAACCTGAACTGAACCCCCGGAAAAAGCGCCACTTTGCTAAATGCCACGTTTTAAAAACCTTTTTTTACCCACCAGTAGCCATGCTTCCAATTCTCGTCTTCCACTGGATTCATGCGCTTTCGATAACGCCTCATATGAGCCATATTTCATATTATCAAACAAAATCAGCAGTTAGAAAACGCAGACAATATCCGCACCATGTTTGTCAAAATAGCTGAGCTACAGTTATATGAGCAGTCCCCGCTATTGCCTTGTCTTTTTTCATCATGATTAGTTGAAATAACAGCTCGCTAGACGAGCTTTTATTCAGAGACGAGCAGATACCACCCACGAAGATCGTCCATGTGTGCTTTTATTCTTCGTAGGTGCAACAGACCACACATAGAGATTTTTCTAAATGTCTGATTCATCTATAAAGGTTGTTAGAGGGCGAAGCCCACCCACAAAATTATTCACGATATTGTGCGGAATACTTCTGGCAAGCGCCACTGGCAGGGAGCATGATGCAAATAGCAGTTAAACTGAGAATTATGAGCGAACATTGCCACGCACATGAGGCCTAGGCGTGCGCTAGGATGTAGAGTTCAGGCGTATGCAGGGAATGTTGTATTGGTGGCGGAGGTTTATCAAAAGGCATGAAGATGGCCGTTTTTTTTATGCGTTTTGCATATTTATGCAAATGTGTGACGATTCATGCTATATGTTTGTGTGTGTTTGTGTGTGTGTGTGTGTGTGTGTGTGTGTGTGT